GCCGCCTCGCCCCAGAGCCCTGGGGAGGGTCGCTAGGCTGGGGCAGCTGGGACTGTGCTCCTGGCAGAGTACAGGGGACCGAGGCTGAAGTGCCACGGTGGCCTCTAACCAGGAAGACAATTCAGACAGAGGAGATGGCTTACCCTGGCTGCCGCATCAGTCAGTACCTCCAAGGCCTGAGAAAGCTGGTGGAAGAGTTCAGCTAAACACAAAGATCAAACAACAGAGAGGAGAAAAATTAAATTAGACTTGGCGATGTTGTGCTCCCTCAGAAAAGCACCTTAAAGAAGCCACAGGCTGGCAGAAACGCTGACAGCAGATGAAGACCAGCAAGGAAGGGTGCGTACATCAGCAATGGACCCGACACCCCTAACACGGGAAGCCGGCTATGTGCACCGGCATTCCACCGCACGCCCCCGGGGCACAGGTGGGAGACACCCCATGCCCAGGTGGCCGTGCCTTCTTCCCACGCTCAGGAGAGTCGCACCTGCTCTGGGATTATCCGGATTTTTGTCTGGATGGCAGGAGAGGGCCTTCTGCCTATATGCCTTCTTCACCTGAAAGAGTCAGAAACATGACCATTCACTTTCTCACCCACAGCACAGGAAAAGCGATAAGGGAAAGCCCTGTAAGAGAGGCTGCTGGCTCCCACATGGAGACAGTAACTCACAGCCACCTAGGAGATCTGCAGTGGAGGAGGCAAAGGCCTTGAGGGAGCCCAGGCCCCCTGAAGCAGAGGGGCAGGGCTTCCTTCCCACCCAGCCCCCAATCCCATCCCTCCGGATGCCAAGGGCTCCAGGCAGGGGCAGGTTCTCTGCAGCCCCCTGGAAACAGGCACTCTCACACACCCAATGGGCATGAGAACTGGAACCTTTCTGGAGGGAAATTTTGCCATCAAAATTTAAAATAAACTTTCCCTTTGACCCACTCCTAGGAATTTGGACTTGTAGAAGTATGCTAACATAAACATACAAGGATGCCCACTGCACCACTATTTATATTAGCCCCCAACTGGAACCAACCAAAACCTCCATCAACAAAGAGAGCCATTTAAAAAACTATGATAGGCCCTAACCGGTTTGGCTCAGTGGATAGAGCGTCGGCCTGTGGGCTGAAGGGTCCCGGGTTCGATTCCGGTCAAGGGCATGTACCTGGGTTGCGGGCACATCCCCAGTAGGGGGTGTGCAGGAGGCAGCTGATCGATGTTTCTCCCTCTCTCTCTCCCTTCCTCTCTTTCTGAAAATCAATGAGAATATGTCCTTTGATAAGGATTAACAAGAAAAAAAAAGATTCTGTAACTATATGTGGTAACAAATGTTAACTAGACTTACTGTGGTGATCATTTCATGATACTATATACAAATATCGAATCATTGTGCTGTATACCTGAAATACAATGTCATATGTCAATTATACTTCAATTTAAAAAAAGAAAGATCTTCAAGATAAGGTGTGTGAAAAAAAGGCTTAGAACAGTTATACAATATGATCACTTTGGGGTTTAAAATAAACAATCAAAAAAATGAAATAAAAATAGTTCCAGATACTCTGGCATGTGCATAGCTTTTGTTTTGTTTTTTTCCTCAAAGCAATCATAAGAACCATAAGAGTTGTTTCCTTTGGAGAGAAGCTAAAGATGGAAAGGAAGGAAACATTTACATCTCATTTTATGCCATTCTGTAGTTCAAATTTTCAAACCTTAAACAAGTCATATTTTACTATCATTTTTCATTGTCAACAGAGGTTATCTTGGTGGGGACGTTAAGGCCCATTTTTAGTTTTTATCTCCGCATACCTCTGATTTGAAAAGAAGAAAAGTAGTATTTTTTCTACTTTTAGTAAAAGTAAACAGCTGCCAAGGTTCTCTGTCATCTATTACTCACTCGGTTGTTTTAAGGGAAGGCAGAGCACAAAGTCCTAGATTCTGCCCTCTGCTTCCCGAGGGCTTGCCCACTTCTGCCTACATACCTTACCTGCTGCTCAAACCTCCTGGGAGGAGGAGCCTCTGGACCTAGAACTTCCACATCTCAGAGGGAACCAATAAATACTTCTACCCTAAGTGTGCTAAATGAGGACCTTCAGGCAAGTTGCCAGAGGCCCTAGGGGAGGGCTTGTAGACAGGTACCTCATTCCACTCCCACATCTACTGCTAAGAAAGGCCTGCAGCTGCCTAGACCTCTGGGCTGTGCTGCCCCCTGGTGGGCCATTGCCAGCACCACACCTTCACCTGCCAGGGTAACCTGCCCATCTGGCTCTCCTGGCTGAGCAGGAGGCAGGAGGAACCACTCAGGACAGGCTGTGAGCACAAAGGTACAGACATGCCTCCCTGCCCTCCCACCTCCCCAACTGCACCCTATGCTCACCTGGCCCACGTGTTTACCTCTCCACCCCAACAGAGGGCTTCACCATTAACCCCTAGAGTGCCAGGGAGCGCGATCACACTCCTGTCTTTCGACAAAAGCGCTGGGGGCGCTATCGCTCCTCCTGCAGTGTCACTATTAGATGCTAGTAGTTCGCTCTTTAGTGGGGAAAAAAATTTAAAAACCTTAACTCAAAATGCCTTGGCAATTTTAGCATAGTTCCTAGGATATTGGTTGGCACTCAAAGGGTTAAACAACAACAACAAAATCTAGCTGTTTTCACTACCAAAAAAAGAAAAGAAAAAGTAATTCTAAGGGAATGGGCCCTAGCCAGGTAGCTCAGTTGGTTAAAGTGTCATTCCTACATGCAAAGATTTCCACACACACACACACACACACACACACACACCGGAATGGGAGGTGCTAGTTTTATATATAGTCTTACATTTGAAATGTCATCTTTATTGTTTAGCCCCTTATCTACACCCCCCTTAAAGATTTTTAAAAGTGATTTTGAGAGAGAGAGAGAGAGAGAGAGAGAGAGAGAAACATCAATGAGAGAGTGAAACATCGATCGGGCTGCACACACACACACACACACACACACACCGGAATGGGAGGTGCTAGTTTTATATATAGTCTTACATTTGAAATGTCATCTTTATTGTTTAGCCCCTTATCTACACCCCCCTTAAAGATTTTTAAAAGTGATTTTGAGAGAGAGAGAGAGAGAGAGAGAGAGAGAGAAACATCAATGAGAGAGTGAAACATCGATCGGGCTGCCTCCTGCACACCCCTACTAGGTATTGCGCCCACAACCCGAGCATGTGCCCTGACCAGGAATCAAACCAGCAACCTTTCGGTGCCTGGTATGACACCCAACTCACCCCACCCTCTGAGATGGGTGAGAGGAAGAGGCAGGGAGAAGGCGGTGTCTATCACCTTATGCTGCCCTCAGAATGAACTCCCTTAGAACCAGGATTAGCAGGCGTGTCCTACTGATGTTGGGGATTTTTGTGGAAGATGGTTTATTTTGTGTCATTGGGGCTCTTTTAAAGTGTTTTATGTTCTTTTATTTTGTAAATCTGAGAGAAACAGTAGAAAGGAGAGGGACAATAAGACCCAGTAAGAAAGCAAGATAAAAGAGCTATGAAGTGAGCTGGGTGGCAATACACTCTTTTTTTTTAAAGAGAGCATTATTATTATTTTTAAAAAATATATTTTATTGATTTCAGAGAGGAAGGGAGAGGGAGGGAGAGAGAGGAACATCAGTGATGAGAGAGAGTCATTGATTGGCTGCCTCCTCCATGCCCTCCACCGGGGATGGAGCCTCCAACCCGAGCATGTGCCCTGACGGGAAATCGAACCATGACCTCCTGGTTCACAGGTCGACGCTCAACCACAGAGCCACACCCGCTGGGCTAAGAACTCTTTTTAAATGTGGTTTGTTTGCCCTCATCAGTTTGGCGCAGTGGTTAGAGGGTCGGCTCTTGGACCAAAGGGCCGAGGGTTTGATTCCCGGTCAAGGGCACGTACCTTGGTTGCAGGTTCCCTAACAGGAGGCAATCAATGTATCTGTGCCTCTTGAGTCAATGTTTCTCTCTCTCTCTTTCCCCATCCTCCCTCCCTTCTGCCTCTCTCGTCTTCCTCCCTTTCACTCTCTAGAAATCAATGGGAAACATATCCTCAGTAACAGAGCACCCAAACCTTCACCAGGGTGGAGCCAGAGAAAGGTGGGGCTCATCCTCAACAGAAGAAAATATAAAAATATCCCTGAAACAGAGGGTTAAAGTTGATATTTACTTTCTACAATGAGCTCGTATTATATTTCACATCAAGAAAAAATTATTTAAAAGAGCAAACAGAATTAAATTCTTCAAAAGACAAAATGGCTGGCTGGATTTAAAAGAATAAGACCCATCTATATGTTGCCTACAAGAGACTCACTTCAAGTGTAATGACATGCAGACTAAAAGCGAAGGATGAAAAAGATATTCCATGCAAATGGAAACCGAAAGAAAGCTGGGGTAACTACAAAATTATCAGACAAAACAGACTTTAAGGTGAAGACTATAATAAGAGACAAAACAAGATAAAAATAAAAGAAGATACAATAAAAGAGTTCAATCCATCAAGAGGATATAACATTTATAAATATTTATGCACCCAACATAGCAGCACCTAAATATATCAAGCCACTATTACAGACCTAAAGGAAGAAATAGACAGCAATGCAATAACAGTAGGAGACTTCAATACCCCACTTTCATCAAATGGTTAGATCATCCATCTAGACAGAAAAATCAGCAAGGAAACATTGGCCTTAAACAACACATTAGATCAGATGGACTTAACAGACATATATGGAATATTTTACCCAAAACGACTACATATTCTTCTCAAGCACAGGACAGATCATATGTTAGGCCACAAAAGAATCCTTAATAAATTTAAGAAAACTGAAATCATATCAACCATCTTTTCCAACCACAACGGTATGAAACTAGATATCAATTACAAGAAGAAAAGGAAAATTCACAAATATGTGAAAATTAAACAAAATGATACTGAACATGGGTCAAAGCAGAAATCGAGAGAGAAGAAAAAAAAACCTTGAGAAAAATGAAAATAGATACACAACATACCAAAACTTATGGGATGCAGCAAAAGCAGTTATAAGAGGGAAGTTCATAGCAATAAATTCCTACATTAAGAAACAAGAAAGCTCTCAAACAACTTAACTTTAATCTCACGAAACTAGAAATAGAAAAATAAATGAAGGCCAAAGTTAGTAAAAGTAAGGAAATAATACAGATTAAAGTGGAAGTAAATGATGGAAAGACTAAAGGACAATAGAAAAGATCACTGAAACTAAAAGCTGGTTTTCTGAAAAGATAAACAAAATAGACAAATCTTTAGTTAGATTCACCAAGGGAAAAAAGAGAGAGGAGTCAAATAAATAAAATCAGAAATAAAAGAAGAGATGCTACAACTGATATCACTGATGTCTGTTGACTTCAACAATACATTAAAAAGATGAAACACCATGATCAGATGGGATTTACTGCAGGGATGAAAGGGTGGTTCAACATTTGCAAATCAATTAATGTGACACATCACATTAAGAAAATAAAGGATAAAATCATATGATCATCTCAACAGATGCAGAAAAGCATTTGACAAAATTCAATATCCAT